GTACAAGACTAGTCTATTTATTTGATAATTTATTGAAAAAGAACAGAAATTGCGTAAGATTGAAAATATCGATATGTCACAGCAAACTTGGATTAATATCTGCGATCACAAATTTAAGACGGACGGACATTTACAGAAGGGTATCCGCGCGTCGCGTGGGTGCCTAGAGTAGCTCGGTACCGTCACCTCGCAGGCGTCTTACGTGTACATACGTAGGTGTGCTGCTTATATTTGCATCGTCATAGAACGTATAGGCCCGTGGCTAACGGAACGCGTGTATCGATTTGGGCGGGGGCGGTTCATTTCTTTGTCTTGCTCCCAGTCAGTTACATAGGAGCGAGCAGAGCCAGCCGATCGACGAGGAGACCGGCAATCGCAACGAGATCACATCGTCAACGACCAATCTACCGGTGAACCGAGGACAGATCCACGCCGATTTCGCTGAGGACGCCGAGGATTTCCACGTCGCCGAAGACACGACCACGTGGTCCTCGTTAGCCATCACTCGCGAGAACGTGCAAATCGACAGCTCGAACAATGATATCGGCAACTTGAATAACAACCTGACTGTACCCAGGATCCGTAGAAATAGCTCCGTCGACAGTTTACCCGATTACGAAGGTATTCGTTGATTTTTAATAACGTGAATAATAATTATGATTGTCTATTATCCACTGAAAGATTTGTTTTAACGTTTTTCATTTCTTTATTAATTTTAATACTATTAAATTATATACATATACTTCGATGTATCCGAAATCTATAAATCTATGTTGACGCAATTTTTATACAAAATATTTTGCATGGAATTAGTTTAGACAGTAAAGAATTAGCAAAGAAGAGTTTTATGCAAAATACTTCTTGTTTTTAAGTGCGAATAATTTTTGTTGGGTAGATACAAGTAATTATTCGTTTCCTCAATTCTTCTGCATGCATTTGGACTTGAATATAAGATGTTTATAAGAGAAGTTTAGTTATAAATTAGTTTTGCTAAAATGCGGGATAGAGTCTGTCGTCGGACCTTGAGGATGATCGTAGAAACGACACACAGGAGCGAGCAGAGCCAGCCGATCGACGAGGAGACCGGCAATCGCAACGAGATCACATCGTCAACGACCAATCTACCGGTGAACCGAGGACAGATCCACGCCGATTTCGCTGAGGACGCCGAGGATTTCCACGTCGCCGAAGACACGACCACGTGGTCCTCGTTAGCCATCACTCGCGAGAACGTGCAAATCGACAGCTCGAACAATGATATCGGCAACTTGAATAACAACCTGACTGTACCCAGGATCCGTAGAAATAGCTCCGTCGACAGTTTACCCGATTACGAAGGTATTCGTTGATTTTTAATAACGTGAATAATAATTATGATTTTCTACTATCCACTGAAAGATTTATTTTAACGTTTTTCATTTCTTTATTAATTTTAATACTATTAAATTATATACATATACTTCGATGTATCCGAAATCTATAAATCTATGTTGACGCAATTTTTATACAAAATATTTTGCATGGAATTAGTTTAGACAGTAAAGAATTAGCAAAGAAGAGTTTTATGCAAAATACTTCTTGTTTTTAAGTGCGAATAATTTTTGTTGGGTAGATACAAGTAATTATTCGTTTCCTCAATTCTTCTGCATGCATTTGGACTTGAATATAAGATGTTTATAAGAGAAGTTTAGTTATAAATTAGTTTTGCTAAAATGCGGGATAGAGTCTGTCGTCGGACCTTGAGGATGATCGTAGAAACGACACACTTATAAAATACAGTTACGCCCACAATTGAACATTCCTTAATCAAAGAAATGACTTAAGTACTTACTTAATACATATATTAATATAATATAAATATACATGTAGAAAAGTAAAAATTTATTAAATTTTCTATCTAATTAGAAATAAATAAAATGTTATACTATAATTACAATCTTCGTTTGCATAATAAGGGTCACGAACTTCGATATTTCAGGCTAATCCCTTCGAGCTTTCTGGCATTAAGTTCGACCTTGACATTAAACCATAAATTTTGCCGCTTAATGACGTAGAAAATAATACGTGAATAAGAACCGGATATTTCGTATATTGATGCGCCATAAAATCTTTATGTACGAGATAATGCCAAATAATTGGGACAGTAATTGCCATAAAATTGATACAGAACACGATAATTTTGAACTGAAATTATGTACATGAAAATATACGTTAATCTCGGTCTCAAGATTTCAGTATTCAGTAACTTCTATAAAGGTACTAAAATGTATAGCAAAATTACTAACACTTGTTTTCAATTCGTCAATCTTATCTTTAATTTAATCCAAAATATAGGTAACGGTACAGTCTCCGAAATTCATTACATTTCCTGTTAATTCTCAGTCCCAATCGATCCCCCGAACTAATTACATGAATCCATGATTCACATCCGTTCCAATTAATCGTCGTTCTCAAGATTTATTTGGAATGCACCAACTTAAATTTCAACATCTTACTTTGTACATTCTAATTAATATGCTCACGTTAAAGCAAAGAGCTGCGTTAAAATAAAGAGAGACACGACTGACCAAATATAAATAACTGTATTACGCACGGTTTTAAAACGTTTAAATGACATGCACTAGATTCGATGAAATTGACCGAGCTATTGCACAGCTGGGATGAATCAGTGGCGCGGAACGATGCGATTATTCAGTAAATACGATAGTAGTGCGTATTCCGGCAATGTGCAACTAGCATGAAATTCCGCAGGGCGTAACTCCTCTCACGACGACTCGTCTCACGAGTTAACACCGTCCGACTGGTCCGACTGGTCCGAGGAGGGAAATCTGCCCGCAGGTTGTCGCGGTATCGTCAACCCTAACTATCCGGGGTTTCAACACCTGGCGCCTTCTCTTCTGTCGGACACAGATCTGACGGAGGACGAGCACGACAGCTGCCCCGATTACACCGGGTTGAACGACATCGACACGAGACCAACCGTGAACGACAACGAGTACAATAACAACGTCGAGGACAGTATCAATCACTTGTTTGGTCAGAGAAACGAAAGGAAGATTTTCTACGAGAAACCAAAATTCAATATACAGGTGAGCGATGCTATACTGCTAATAAAATGCAGGATATACTATAAATGAGACGTTGTACTAAATGATTAAAGTCATCTTTTGAAATTGGTTCGCAGCATAATTTAAACAATTTTTATAAGACTGACTTCCACTTTTAACAGCAATTTCTTCTCTGAAGAAGTACATAGGGAATTTCGAAAATATTAATTTTCCGTAAAATGAGTAGCATTCGAAATCAACATTGCAATTTTGTAGATACAAAATATCGTACAATGCTGAATGAATTAATATGGTGGAGCAGTATATTTCTATTCTATAAAGAACTATATAGTAGTAGTAATGAATAATTTCAGAAAATAACTACCAGAGATTGGCGAAACCGAAACACAAGCAAAATAAGAGCAACGTTCTCAGTTGAAATTCCACTTATTCCAAATTTAGCTCACGCTTTTATTCAAACACGAATTTTGTCCTAGCAAATCTAGAATACACTACATACCCAACAGAGGAATGCTTAATTATGTTCCAATTCCTTTCATTCTCATAGATCGGAATCTATTTATAAACTCACCATGCCTCAAGCTTTTTCCACTATGCCTAAAATTAGTTCAGTCTCCATTTAAGAACAAGCTGGTGCCTATTAAGTCAAATCGTAATAGCATTAAGTAGGAAAAAAGAAGCAATTGGATTCCAAAGGTTCTGTACAAGCTTCTTTCTATTATAACTTCCATCGAAAAATGGAATCCAAATGCATATAAATTAAGACAATTAGCACTTGAACTTGTATTTTGTGTGTCATAATCTGGACTATTTATTCAATCAATTGAAGACCGAAATATACAAAACATTTTCAGCAGTGCAAATTGCTTACTACTTAACCAACAGCTTAGAATACAGTCTTGACGACTATATTTCAAGCTCAATTAACCAGGCAAAGTCTGAAGAGAATGAATTGGCTCTGTTTCCAGACTGTAACGTCTTTATACGAGTCGGTGGTGCCGCCGTCGGAGAAATGTATAAACTACGTGAAAAGTGTTGAGGATTCGAGAACGGAGGAGATCTCGCCGAAATCGGATATCGTGAACGGCGTGATAGAGGCGGAAACTCATCTGACGGTGCTGGAACCGGAAGAGGCGCTCGCTGACACCGTCGCGGAGAACAACGTCGTGAACTTGTCCGAAGCGGTGTTGGAGGAAAAACAGCAACGAGAGACACCGGTCGAGATCGAAATCGTCGAACTGACAACCAGCGTTAAGGAGACGTTACAGTTTCCGGAGATTGAAGATATACCGGATTCTGGAAAGACCAGTGAGATTGGAGAGGTAGGTTTTGCAATGCTAATCTCATTTATATGTAACACTTTTCAATGACCTAATCTACTCAGGAGTCTTAATTTACATATAATTGAAATAGCATAAAACTAGATTTGACGCGTTGCAATACACTTAGTAAGAAATGGCGGTGATTAACGTGCAGGATATCTGGATTACGTTGAATCTCCCAATCGGGAAGAGCCGCAATTGAAAAAACAGTAATTACTGCAATTTTTCAAAGCGGCAGAGATGTTGAAAAGTGTCCGCGGTTGCGAATGATTTCTGTTACGGTGAAGCACGGCCAATTGAGATTAACGAGAATTCATCGTGCACACAGCTCGTGTCACGATTCATGGCTCCTCTACGTGTGAAAGACTAACGACCGCATATACTGAGCGCATATAAATGCGTGTGTACACCGTGTACACGTTAATGTATTCAACAGAGTTCACGCTATGTTGCACGTTTTTCGTTTTAAAACTCCGTAACTCAGTCAGCGATGTGCAGTTACACAACTACGTTAATCAGAAATTTCCGGAAACTGTACGACGATCCGCATTCCGCATTAAGTAACTAAATACCAATTAGCGAACGACATGAATCAGTCTGTCGCCTCCCGGGGCTGTACGAAACGCGCTACGAATACTCCAGATAGTAACGAGCTTGATGGTGTAACACGTCACGATTACTATCTGGAATATTCTGGAATACACATCTATATTTTCAACGTCGTAGAACACTCTTCTTAGTTGTATAAAAAAAAAAATTTTGTCCCTTTATTACATTTATCCAAATATAATTTTAGTATGGTCGGATCTTATCGAGATATTATTACTTTTTCTCCAATGGTTCGATACTTGTTCATTATCAGCGAAATGGGAGGAACCACTTAACGAGCATTGGATTTTTTCTTTTCCCCAAACAGACGGAGGATATTGTGGTGGAGCACATTGATTTGATACGCGAGGCAAAGGAGTTGCCTCACCAGGCCCGTTCCAAAATAGGCAACCGTCAGACGGTTACGTCGACCGGCTCCGCCGACGACGACTCCGAGAGCATCACCGACTCCGACAGTTGCCCGGAGGAGCAACCCACCTACACGAAGCTCGAGGAAATCGATCTGCTCTCGAGCATCGGTCGTGATATCGGAGTCGATCTCGAGAAATACGTGCAACCGGTGCCAGACGTAGTCGCCATGGAGACTTTTGACCACATTCACGCGTCATCACGCGCCTCCGCCGCCATAAACAACATGATGAAGGACGCCATCGAGGACACGAACAAGTTAATGGACCGCGATCTACCGGAGGCGTCCAGCGCTGATGCCAGGAAGAAGGAGAAAATGGCGAGGAACCAAGCAAAACGTAGACAGCAACAACAACAGCAACAGCAACAATACTATAGATCCAATACGCAGAGGCGACCTGATAAAAGGAGGGCTGATGCGGATAACGGGCCAGGTATGCATTTGTTTTTCAAATGTGTAAGGGTATTATAATACAGGGTAATCTGAAAAAATCCAATGAAACGAATGTACATATGTACATCATTATACATATATTGTATAATATCGGTGAACTCAGCATTCGAATAATGAAATGATAAAATAGAAAGCAATTTTATAGTTGATTCGTTCATATCAATGAAATTAAAAATTGTAGAAGATCAAGATACGTTAAAGAGTAAAGATTAAGAATTTTACAATTATCCAACGATGTGTTAGAGCAGTACTATGTACGTTTTAATCCTTTATTAAAACTACTGTATATATAATTTTGAAAATTCATTTGTCAAGTTTACATTAAAATATAGATAAAAAGGCAAGAGGAATTTGTTTAAAAATATAGACGCAAACAAGGCAGCAAAGGGTGTCATTTACAATCTCGTTACACTTTGTGCCACCGAGTAGTACCTGTATTTAATTCACAGTTGTCTTGCACAAGTGAAATTTCATAGTGCGAGAGCACAGTGCGAAGTGTGAGAAGATAACAAAAGCACGTATGAACTTGAATTAACTTTGATGCAACCGCACGACGGGAAACATAAGCAGATAGTCCAATTCTTCAGCTGGTTTTTCACATGTATCACACAGGAAACGTATACGATTAGCGTAATCGGTGCGACAATACAAGCACCTCGGCATATCTATTGTGTACGCGTAACGTTCCCTTCACGACGACAATCGCTTATTCATCACTGCTTCTCCTTCACAAGTGCGTATTCTCCCGCGCGCGATTGTCTCCTCGAATTTTACTCTGCCATCTCATAAACTCAATACCGCACGATAATTTCAATCATAAATCTATAAACAATTTCGATATGTATAATCATGAAAATGTGCAAGTGTCGCGAAATTTCAACGAGTGATGAAGAAAATTGCAGGGACTGCAAACTCAATTTAATCCTGTTACGTTTATTTCAAATCATCAGTTGATTACGATATACGGTTCTGATACATCATACAACACGTTGGTTGTGAATATAAAAAGATTGTTAATTAAAAACGCCGAATCAGGAGGTAGTGAAGTAACTGTGCCAAGTGATGAGAAAATTTACTTTTTTTTTCTGACTATATGTTTGTAACGCTATCTTATATGATTGTTTTACCATGGAAGGTGGCTTCGATGTCTACAATATCGAAACAGCGATGCCAAAGATTGATCTGGACGCGATCGAATCTCATCTGAGAGCCGCTCGCGAGGAGGAACGACGGGTAAGTGAAAATATCTCCTAAGTGAATAGCATGATAAACTTTCTGTAAATATTATGGGAAAGAACTTAATATAAATAATCATTTTTATATAAGTAACATATCCGTGACAGAAAACTGTAAAATTTATGTGGAAAAATTTTTTCACATTAAAGAATCTCTTATCTAAATATGGAAATGTTAATTACTATTTTCTCTTTACACACCACCACGCAATATTTGCATGCAAATGCAGGTATGTAGGTGTCGCAATACGTGCACAAATGTTTATCAGAGATGCAATGTTGTAGTAGATTAACCGTTAAATCTGCATTATGCATTCCGTTCTAATATGTATGATTTTTAAATTTATTTTACACTGACCTAGTGAAATACATTTTGTAAAATGTTAACATAGTTCTTAGTCAACTATACTATTCAAGTGGTTATATAACAAATGTAAAAGTATGACAATACTGTAGAAATTTTAGTAATAATTTTTAACATTATGTGTATCTTTTTTATTCAATCTTTCTACGAATACATAAAATCCGGAGTTTACTAATAAGTATAATCTTTATACAAACAAAAAGTACTTAGTAACGAATATATGGACGGCTGGAAGGTGGGACGAATGTAAATGCACTCGAGGGAGGGAGAAAGTAATTATCGAGTCTACTGGAAGGAGAAAAAAAGTAGGAATCCAGCTGGTCAATGTTCTCATGGATAAAAGCGTACGATAAAACTGAATGAATACTCATGCGGCGAGATTGAATCGGTTTCGTCAAAGGATGAGATATGCTCGTAATCATAAATGTAGCATGCCTGATAAGCCTCAAATTGATCGTTCTAAAAACGGTACAGGATGTGGTGAATAGCGGCGAAGTATCGATTAAAGGTCGATCTACACATGCCGTCCCGTGCCTCGCCGGAAGGACGGGCAGGCCAGACAAACGGAATAGTTCGCCGTTAGGGATAATGCCATAGAACTTTCAACAAAAGCAGGAGGCCTCAGAGGGCCCCAAAGATATCTTTTCCGAGTTCGCCAGTTCAAACGGCAGAAAAAAAGAGATCAGCCTCTATGCTGGTTACTTTCATGTAACTGGACATGGTGGTTTTTCACGTTAAATTCCAGAGATTTTCCAGACAAAATTCTGTAGATTTATTGACGAAAAACTTTCGTGGTTGCCGATCATGATTCTTGTTCATACTATAGCCTCTTTATGTTTGCAAATAGCAAGCATAGTAATACAGATCTGCAATAACTGTTAATAAATAATTCAGATAACTATTTCCATGCAATCGTTCACTTGGAAATATATCCGTCTATTTTTAAAACTTTTTGAAACTCTAATAAAACCAGTTAAATTCTCCAGAAGTAGAGGAAAAATAGAGATCCTTCCCCTTCTCATACACGCAGTTTAAATTAATCGCAAATCCCACTTAATCGATTTTACGCAGTGAAAGAGGCAGCGAAGCGTGGCCGAATTTTTCATTTCGACATGGAGACAGGGAGATGAGGGGAGAAAAAAAGATCGGAGATAAATAGACCTGCCTACCGCGTAATTTTCAACGAGATGTTTCGCGCGAGTATTTTCTGGATTATTGACGCGGAAAATAAGGTCGACAAGGTTTACCGACCCCGTTTCGGGATATCCCGATAGCGAGAGTCTCATTAAATGCACAGACGATCTATATACGCCAGTGCAGCGTCCATTGTATGGAAATAAGGGAACAGGAAACGGATGTCGCCACGAAAACGATCAATGCAATCTGTAGATAGAGCGTAACATATTTCGGCACACTAACAAAAGATTTGAAATAGGCTTAACGACCCATGATATCAGCGACAGTTAAAGAGAATAAAAAATGGAAACTTGAATACAAATTAATTGTGTTCCTAACTTTCATTTAATGTTTGTGTAAAAATTTATTTTTAACTGAAACATGTTTAAGTATGTTAAGGTTTTGATATTACTTGTGAATCGGCATCGAAAGAATGCGGATAACGGATAAATTTATAATATCCCGAGATAACATATTGCACTTAAAAGTTGAGGCAGCCATGGGTCAAAAGACTCGCATGAGCAGTCAAGTGTAGCACTTTGCGTACGACCTACGAGATGTAGCTACACCGTCTTCAGCCAAGGCAATCCGAAAACCTGTTCCAACCCAAGTGTATTATAAAACGATCTTAGAGGAGCGGATGCAATTATGAGAATGATAAGGACAAAAAGCAAATCTTCAAGAACTTTAGCGAAATGAGCAAAAAATAGAAGTTCAATTTAAGTTTTTCTCTGCTTTATTAGTTATCGTCTTTTTTAATACCTACCCAAGACAATCTCATCAATTTCTGTATTTTAAAAGTATATATAAGAATATCATATTATAATAATAATTTCTCTTTAATTGAAATATACAAAATTAAAATAATTTTACTATAAAATGGAAGTGAATATTTATTGAGACAAATTTATTAATACTTTTCACGTACTCTGAACTTTAACCATCCGAGAGGATTTGAAATTAATTTAGGCATAACTCATGGTTCGCAATTAGATTAATTAGCAAGTGCAGTTTGCTAAATTAGTTCCTCAAGTAATGCCAACTTCCTATTTAATTATCATACTAAATTCACGCGTAAATCGTCAATCATTATAATTAATTTTCCATAATGACTGATATTTGCTGGTTCCGAATTCCAATAGCTTTCCGAAGTTTACCAGCACCTACAATCGAGCATCGCATTCCGCAAAGTTTAAAACAACGGCAAAAGTATGTGTCAAATAATAATCGACCAACGCAACGGTAGAGCGCAAAAAGTTTCCTCATTGCGAGTAAACGTGGATGGTTACGCCTCAAACGAGACAACCACTTTCACCGAACTGAACGCTGTGAAAAGCCGAGGTAGACCCAACCAGCCTCCATAGACGGTTAATAGCACTAGCTCCACCACCTCCTTCGAGTAAACCTTACCGGAAGATCGGTTCGCCGCTCACTTGACTCACTTTAATACCAGTCTTGTGCTGTTCGCGAGTCGCGCGAGTCCTCGTGGCAAAAACTCCGGTATTCGTGGCATTTTCATTTCGTCCTGGTACGAACAGAGAACTAAAAGCACTTCGTCGCAGGAATTTATCGGCAGTGAATCACAAGTTAATGATTTAATTACATTCTGTTCAACGACGAATCGAGTTCTCATCGAATCGATGTGATTGGAAGAATTCTACGCTCTATGGTGCTCGCTTTTCACTTTGGATCAACAATTTAACAATTCTTCGTTTCAGACAAGATTAAGAAATCATATCAATTATACGTACTGTACATACGACATCCGACCCCCTCTTTACCGGGTCTGAAAAGATATTGATATTGGGTAACAAAAACAGCTCGGAATCTTTTCCAGTGATTAATTAATCAGTATTATAATTATAAGCAAGACTCTCAACGTATTAAGTCAGTTCTGATGTTAGCATCTCAATAACAGCGTCACGTGCACAATTTCTAAAGGTAAAATTGTATTTTCAAGAGAAATGACTGTTACTGCTCAAGGGATATATCAAAGGCGCGCGCGTAATTAAATCGTACTTCCGCTTAGTTTGCGTCACAGCAACTCGGGGACATTTTGTGCGTGTCTCTAATTAATTAACGAGACGTAAAGTCTTTACTGGGATGAATGAACGGAACGTGAATCCGCCAGAATGAAGAGAAAACTGCTCCAGAACAATATTCAAGGAAATGTTGCATTCCATTGATGAGCTCATAAACAGAAGACACAACATAAACTTGAAAAGAAGAACAATACACTTTGTCTCAAAATGATCGAAAAGAGAGCTTTCGTACAGTGTTCTATTGATAATTGAAAGAAATTGGATCATCATAAACGAAAACTACAGTTTTATTATACTGCGGACAAAAAATCATTCGATGAGAACCGAACCGATCTCAAGTCGTTAACATCTCTTATGAGCACGCTAAAGAAATAGAAAATCCGTTCTATGTATGTGATTTAAAACTCGTTAAAGCGTTCTATGAGTTACGCGAGAATATCTTGACGATGCTCTTTTAACGGTCCACGCGGACTGTCTCTTTCTCTTCTTCTTACCGTCAAGGTCAGTGGCTTTGCGCTTCGCGTGAAAATTTCTGATCCATTCAATCGTGATCAATGACCTATGAAGAAAGGATTGTGTAAATAAAGTGAGGGAAAAGTTTACGCTGTCTCCCGCGAGCAAACACAATCGATGAGAAAGACCATCGTGGGGCCGGCGTGATAAAAAAACGCGAAGGAATTAGAGCGAATCCTGTGAATATGGGTAGCAGTAACAAAGTGAGGAAACATTATAAAAAGGATTCCCGATTCGTCACGGACTTGTACACATTCACATACGATGACTTCGATCTCGTAAGATTAATACCCCATTGTGAAATGAAAGAATGGCAACAGAGATTCCATTTTTCAAATCATTATTTATATACACATTGATGAGATATTTTAACTGCGTACATTTAAGCTATAAATTATACAAACTGTGAATTGGAAAATTTAAATCTATTTTCAAAAGTAGGGATTCTTGATAAAATTTAACAAAGTTAGTTACAGATATTAATAGGTTTTATTCACGGAAGTTTAATTATATACTGCCAAAATAATTCTATAATAAAGTATCAGTAAATCATCATAGCCTGAACTTGTAATCTAAGAAGGTTAGTGACCGAAACGAATCGATTCGAAAAAGGAGAAAGTGGGTCGTAGTGTGCAGATGCTAGAAAACTGATTTTGGCATTTATGTACATATGAATCATGATCAACGGAAATCAAATAGAAAAGAAAGCAAGACTCTCAACGTATTAAGTCAGTTCTGATGTTAGCATCTCAATAACAGCGTCACGTGCACAATTTCTAAAGGTAAAATTGTATTTTCAAGAGAAATGACTGTTACTGCTCAAGGGATATATCAAAGGCGCGCGCGTAATTAAATCGTACTTCCGCTTAGTTTGCGTCACAGCAACTCGGGGACATTTTGTGCGTGTCTCTAATTAATTAACGAGACGTAAAGTCTTTACTGGGATGAATGAACGGAACGTGAATCCGCCAGAATGAAGAGAAAACTGCTCCAGAACAATATTCAAGGAAATGTTGCATTCCATTGATGAGCTCATAAACAGAAGACACAACATAAACTTGAAAAGAAGAACAATACACTTTGTCTCAAAATGATCGAAAAGAGAGCTTTCGTACAGTGTTCTATTGATAATTGAAAGAAATTGGATCATCATAAACGAAAACTACAGTTTTATTATACTGCGGACAAAAAATCATTCGATGAGAACCGAACCGATCTCAAGTCGTTAACATCTCTTATGAGCACGCTAAAGAAATAGAAAATCCGTTCTATGTATGTGATTTAAAACTCGTTAAAGCGTTCTATGAGTTACGCGAGAATATCTTGACGATGCTCTTTTAACGGTCCACGCGGACTGTCTCTTTCTCTTCTTCTTACCGTCAAGGTCAGTGGCTTTGCGCTTCGCGTGAAAATTTCTGATCCATTCAATCGTGATCAATGACCTATGAAGAAAGGATTGTGTAAATAAAGTGAGGGAAAAGTTTACGCTGTCTCCCGCGAGCAAACACAATCGATGAGAAAGACCATCGTGGGGCCGGCGTGATAAAAAAACGCGAAGGAATTAGAGCGAATCCTGTGAATATGGGTAGCAGTAACAAAGTGAGGAAACATTATAAAAAGGATTCCCGATTCGTCACGGACTTGTACACATTCACATACGATGACTTCGATCTCGTAAGATTAATACCCCATTGTGAAATGAAAGAATGGCAACAGAGATTCCATTTTTCAAATCATTATTTATATACACATTGATGAGATATTTTAACTGCGTACATTTAAGCTATAAATTATACAAACTGTGAATTGGAAAATTTAAATCTATTTTCAAAAGTAGGGATTCTTGATAAAATTTAACAAAGTTAGTTACAGATATTAATAGGTTTCATTCACGGAAGTTTAATTATATACTGCCAAAATAATTCTATAATAAAGTATCAGTAAATCATCATAGCTTGAACTTGTAATCTAAGAAGGTTAGTGACCGAAACGAATCGATTCGAAAAAGGAGAAAGTGGGTCGTAGTGTGCAGATGCTAGAAAACTGATTTTGGCATTTATGTACATATGAATCATGATCAACGGAAATCAAATAGAAAAGCATTAGATTTAAACTTGGACAATTCAATAAAGCTCGAAGATATAACATAATATTTCTCAATTTTACATACTCTTATCTATAACTTGCAATCTACATAAGTCTTTTCAATTCTTTTAACATTTTTAATTTTCTTTCCTTTTAATATACTGAATATAATCTTCACGGTTCAATAAATTCTTTCCGATTGACCTCCCCAGTTTAATCCGCATTTATTGGCAAAGACGGCTACCGTTGTATGTATAGAATATTGAAACTTGAATAGATCGAACTTAAGGCACGTGCTACTTCAGTTTTGTGCCCACGTATTAAATCGAGTATTGCATTCCACGAATAATCTGCAGTCGCGAGACACGTCATTAACATGTACTTCTAGAATCGCGTAAAAGTATAATTTAACAAGCCTCGCCACTTGTCTCATTAAATTTCAAAAACTTAGAAAGTCAGGCAGTCAAGAAATATTACCATTTTTCTAACAATCCTTTCAGAATTGAAAGAACTTCATTATGATCTGTGTTAATTACAAGGTGATTAAAATAGAGCCTTATTTATTATAGAAGAAATCAGTAAATTGCACAATTTGTTTCGCGCACGTTCTTATCTACGTAATTATTATCAATTGCTAAAAAGACAGCAAGAAAACGTTGATAAACGGTTGAATGCGTGTTCGAGATGTACTATTCTCGTCCCGCATGCGAAGCTCTGTCGCCATTCACAAGACCAAAAGTCAGCCATTATCAATGGTCTGTAATCGAAGATATCGATTACCGTATTGGCTTTCATTTCTGGGGCATTAGGATGACGATAAAGAGACCGAAAAGGAACAGCCAAAGTCAGAAGAGACGATTGCATCGCTCCGGAAACCTAACGAAACGAAGGAGCCTGAAAGGGAAGATCTCGTCACGCGATTTAATAGACTGGTGCAGGGAGAACCGGATAAAACTCTTCAGGTGTGACTTTCGGTCATTCATACATAGGAACCAGAATCTTTACTGAGAAGAGCTGAATCTCTTCTAGAGAATCTTAACTGAATCCAACTTTAAATGTCGTAGACTTTATTTATCAGCTGCCACGTTGACTTACGAGCTACGAAGACTTGCCAAAAAAGTAATCACGCGTCGAACTCTTGCCAAACCGAAGCTTTTGCGATTCGCTTTCGATTTCTTGTCGAGTTATAGATCCAAAATTTTTTTTAATTTCAATCTTATGCCAAAATAGTAGTCCATAAGTGTGTCTAACATGCAGAACTAAATACACTTCAAACTACCTCAACAGTACATTGCCAAAGAGATCATTTTTCATCTTGTTTCAATTCCACGTTTTTAATAAAAATATACTCTTCTTTCTTGCTCTTTGGAAGACCGATAGAAAAAGAGCAGCGAAATTAACTAGAGACTATCTCGCATCGTCAAATTAACGCGAAATCTATTGACTGCAGCTCGTCTAATTCGTAGATCATTATGTAAATGCAACGTTAGAAAGATGTTGTCAATCTCATTAATGGTTTTACTCCCACGCGGGCTGCGATTCCGATGCAATTTGGAGAGGGACACGAAACTCGGGAAGATTAAAGCACCAAGGGGGTTTCCATCTCCCACACGCTTGTACCTACGTATCTATGTTTGTACGTGTAACGGGTAATCACACTTCAAATTTCTGTGCCTGTTCACAGCGGCGAAACGACCGTGAAGAGATACGGAGGAGGTTGGCAATGGGTCCAGACGCCGAAGACTTGCGCGCTGAACGCGGAAGAAAGCCGAGCCTCCAGTCGCGACTTCAAAGCGGTCCGTATCACTCCAACATTTCGCAACACGCGTGCAATCAGTTCATTAAAAACAAATGCCTTCTGCCGTACTTTTATTGACAAGATTTATTTAGTATCAGTCTTTAATATTGAAAGACTTATTGATTAACGAATGAGATAATACGAACGTGAAATTCAGTTTGTGAATTTATTGAAGATGATATGAAAAACGAAGAGTTAACGAAGATTTAAGAAAGTTAGTTATAACTTTCTTACGCATTTACAACAGGAAAGTTGCATTTAGGTGCGATGGAGCATTTAATACGAATGGTGATTGCAAATTATTGTGCAATAAAACGTGAAAGTTTCGCTCATTAAAGTGCGCAAAGAAGATAGTGGCTCTTTCTTATAAACTTATAAAAGATTTACATTTTATCTTGTGCTTTATATGAAGAAATATCATAAAAATATTTAAATTATATACGACATATCACGACATTTTAAAGCTACCTACATTCGATTTATCAAATGTACTAAATTAATATCTGCAAAAATAACAAGAAATATTACATTAAATTAATACGGAAATGAGAAATGAATTAATAATAAATGAAACGAATCGTGAATCTTATAATTATAGAAATCTATCTATTCTTAGGCATGAATCTCCAGATTTGCTTCATGAACGAAACACCCTCCGACACGGAATCACCGTGTTCAGAGAACGACTCGTCTCCAGGATCTACGCCGACATCGCTGGGTTCGAGACAACAGAAACAGATGCCGGTTCGACCTCAGGTGCTCAGTCTTCCACCGTTGAGGCTGGACACCAGCTCAGATTCGGCTCCCATCGATGAAGCCGACTTCTTCGCTAGGCAGGCCAGATTACAAACAGAGGCGAGAATGGCCTTGGCACAAGCCAAGGAAATGGCTCACATGCAAATGGAAATAGAGAGACAAAGGCTGAAACAGAGTCCCATAACGGAAATGGTGCGATCCAGTCTCGAGAAAGTAAGTCTCCTTAAATTATTAGCATCTTTAGATCTAGGAATGCAAAACATAATCACGTTAAGGCGTGTGTCTTCTGGATATGTGCAAGAACTCGAAAATGTCAGGCTTCTCGAAAGCATCACTGTACCCGAAAATTAAAATAATTAAATTCTCGAGAATCTCAATACTCCTCAGAAATTGAGATATTATATGATTATATACATATATGTATTATATAAATATAATAAAATAACGATGCGTAGATGTAATGTGCATGTAAATCCGAAATAAATGCCACGAATCGTGGCATACTTTTGGAAACCTGACGCGATTCCGAAATGAATATCCGACGCGATATTTTCAGGCATTCGCACACCTCTAATTGTTTTCATTTTTTAGCTGTGGCTATACTTCAACGTCAATTATTATTTTTATTACGACTCATCCTGCTTTCCTTTTTTTATAATATACCTAATTCATAAAGCTCTACAAGTTGTGCATATAGCTCAATTTCTAAACCTCAATCAAGGAAAGCACTTTAGAATGGGGAGAAAAAGATTCTATAAAACGAGCAGATGGTTGAGATTTTCTTGGTCGTTTACAGGTTGGCGTTCAGTTGGGCGACGACAGGCGCAGATTATCCCGAGTACTTTTAACAGAACTAAACGTCGCGCAACTCCAAGTAGTAGCAAATGACTTGCACGCGAGAATCGCGGCCCTAAACGAGGCTCTCGTTGAGGGGCTTTTGAGGAGGGACGATTTGCACATGGAACAAGATTCGATGCTAGTTGACGTTGAGGATCTCACCCGATATCTGTAAGTTCTTTCTTTTTTTCATTTCTACGAAACTTCAATCGGTCGTTCTTTCCTTCTAAAAATTTTATGCATTTTTATTCTTTACATTCTGCTCAAAATGACACGGTGTCCTCAATGCGATTAACATTACTTGGAGAAAAAAGAATGCATGGCCTATTTTTCTGAATGTAAAGTAGAACAACTCTCGGAAAAAAGGATCGACGCTTTTTCGTACTTGAGGAACCACATTCTTCTTCTACTCCTACACCGTTTTATTTGCAAAATCAGAATGAACGAAAAGAATTTGCAAGTAAAATTTCATTTCATTGAAACAGTTCGATAATGAATATCGAATATTAATTATAATCTTCATGAGTACGTATCGCCTCATTTCAAGATTTGATATCACTTTTATTTCCTCGACGCATAATTCTTCTACTATGATCCTACCATTAACAATACTAACTGCTTCTAAGCACACCTCATATTTTCAATTAGTTTAACAATTACGACAAGATGCATCGAGTTTCATCGAACACTTAGAACGCTGCGGTTCAGGTTCAATTTTGTACAACATATCATACAGCTTTCATTTATTTTTTTTCTTTAACAATAGTAATGTCTTCCGGTTAAACTATGACAAACGTTACATATTTTCCGGCCTGTCGCGTTAATAAACAGCTTTTGCTGCGTTCACATGCACAGAGGTGCCAAGCAAGAGTCGCTGAAGAAGCAGAACGCAAGGGAGCAGCAAACGGTGTCGAGCAAAAGCCACCAACAGATGAGCACTGGCCAGAACAAATCATCAATGAAACCGAAACTGACGCACCGTGGTCTAGTCTCGTTGGTGAGGAAATAATGCCTCGCCTCGAGACTTCGTGGTCTCGTCGGAAGTTGAACGCGCAGGAAGACCAGCACCGAGAGGACGCGAGTACGTAGCCTGAATTTGAAAATTCGTCTCCAAGTTTATACGGAAAACGTTTTCGGTGTCAATATTCCGACTCCCACTTAGTCTCGCAGAAAAATGAATGGTTTAGACGAAAGAAAAAAACCTTACGCGAATCTTTTTGGGGAAACTGTATGTATACAAGTCTTCTCTTGCGGAGAAAAACTATCGCAACAAACACAATCGTTCTCTAAACGAGAATTCAAGTATACATTCATACGTACACGAAGAACCACAGCAAAGAATCCTCTTTTTTCCCTACGTTCCACCGGAATGGGACAAAATTTTTTTTTTAAACTTCCAAGGTTTTTACAGGTACGTTGTCAAGATGAAAAATTAGATTAATACGAACGTATATGCGTAATACCTACATAAATTACATAACCGGACATACATAGTAGCAGAGGAGCAACAAGTTCCCTTTACTCGTTCTCATCTTTATCGTCTTGATCGCGACGAACTATACATACAACATGTAGACGTTACTATTCTCCCCATCCGCTCTGGTTATATCTTGCGGCCATGCATGTATGTGTTCCCCGAGTGTACCGCCTTTATATGGTAGCGTTATAAACGATAGGCAGATCTCTTCTGTATTGTTGTAAATAAGTGAAACGAACTAGCGGCAGAGACTGACGAGTCCGTTACACACCTTCTTCCGTCGTCGCATTGAAATTGGTTCTTTGTTCTCCACGGGCGACGAGTTTCTCTTTCTCTCGACGTCTTCCAATTGGGGTGAATCGGTTCTCCGATCGACGAACCGATTCACACCTATCCTTTGGAATATCGAACGGAGATCACGATGGAATGACGTCGATGGGCATGATCAGGATGTAGCTGCTAAGATCCGTTCGAAATACTGTCCTACAACGATTGACATTATTACAATCTGATTGTCATTTGAGTTTGTCATCGCACTTTTCCATGAATCTGTTGTCAACGATTACATGAAATAATGTTCTCTTCGAAGATAAAAACAAGTAACTTTCACGATGCTGATTTATTTAATCGAAAGATGTAATTAAATAATAGAAACAGTGCAAAAGTGTTATATTAATAGATGGTTATTCGTAGAAACGGGCACGTATACAAATTCAAGATCGACAATATGCATAGGCTAAAGCAAACGAAAGACAATTACAATTTTTTATCGTGTCAGGTGTATTATGTGTGTTATTACGCGAAACGTTAAGAATTAAATTCTTTTCAGTCAATGCTACTTTTCTTTTAACCGTAATTTATTCCTGTTCACAAAATTGAGCCAAGTTTTAATCAAAATCCATGCACAAATACTAGTTCTCAGTATTATGTAATGTTGAATACGAGCCGCTTTCTTCCTTTTTCCTTTTATGTACGTACTTGCAAAACGCGCAATTTCCGTGAAACAGCATTGTACATTGTGCGAAAGATATCGGTACAATTGTTTGTAAATACACGTATACGTAGTGTGATAATTTTGTAAAGAGAATCATCCTTGAAGACGGTGAAGAGCAATACCTTACGCAAATTTAAATTTAAATTCGTAAATAAGTGTTGAAGAAACGTTGATTGTGAGTACACAGAAAATGATGAGCAGGTGAATCTTTTGCTCTACTTATGTTCGTCTGTTCTATCATGAAATGATTCATTTTGTATAAAAATGGTGAAAGAATTACTAGCATCTAAAATGTTTAAAGGATATATCTGTCAATGGTACTGAAATTTGATCTTTGAGTTATCTTACAGATTTTACCAAACTGCATTTATATAAATTTCATACTTTTTGTCAATATTTCTTCGTTCGATGTCACCAAAGAGTATGTTCCTTTTGTATTGTAATATAGGTATAATATAAACGATTGTAGATGTATCATTAAAATAATCCATTTATACTTTAGTAATAATTAATCGAGCATGTAACTATAACTATTTAGTACTTTATTCGTTTCCGATTCTCTATTTAATTGTACATGCAGAAAATGAAATCAATATTGAACAGTTCTTGCTCTGCCCTTTATATAATTGTCAATAGAATTGTACTGCAAACGACAAAAGAGAACGAAGAACTCATTACATATCGTTTTAATTATCAAAATCAGGTAATATGGCTGACGACAAAAACTATTAATTCACGAGCTAGCCGTAAAATTGTACCCACTCAAATAGGAATGAAGGACTGACTTACATAGAATTTGAAATAAGAAGGAACTCAATTGTCTCGAACTCATCCAGTTGATCAAGTTTAGACTTAGCGGAAGCGTAATCAAAAATATGTTAATCGTGTACTTGGAACGGATTATCCAAGTTCTACATAAAACTATTCACGTACTGATTTTCATGTACTCGTACGCATTAGAGATTTACAGGATTTATTAAAAGCAACGCAGAACGTGTTATTATCTATCGAAACTCAAAGTCCCTTGATTTCGTATTTGCGTCATCCTTGCGT